TTGGCCTGAGAGTAATAAATGCAAATTAGTGTAAAGTGGTACCAAAAATTGTGTCGATAATAGGCCCTGAAGTAATCTTGTGTGTTCGAGATAATTACAAATATATTTTCCTTTCAAAAATCTACTGCCGGGTAATTTTTTATGGTTTGCTATAATATAATTTTAAAATTAGAAAATTATCCCTAGTCTCATTAAAATAATTTTGCAGTGCATCAGGCTTTATGCACTTTATTTCAAGTGTAAGTTTCACATTATCTTCTCGCCTACAGACCTTGAATTTTTATTTTTTTTTTCAGAAAACCTCCTCATATGCCAGTATTTTGGGCCTGTGCTTGGTAAACTCAATGCTTTGTTTCAGCTTACTACTTCCACAGCTTTTCTTATCATTACTATCACTATGTAAAAAGTAACACTGCAAGCAGGGGTGATACTTCTAGGGCTCAGTGCAGTAAAAATCTCTTAGGGCCATACTTTTTCCTTTTTATTCCTGCTAATAGCAATTCACCTGATAAATAGTTCAGAGGTTTAGACATGGCCAAAGTGATGCACACCTTACAACCAATCCAATCACAACAGATTGCACTCAGGAAACCATCCCTGGTCAGCTGTTTTACTAGAAATACTTCCTCCCTTCCTCCTTTTTTTTTTTAAATTTTTTTTTTTTAAATTTTTTTATTTTTATTTGTTTAGACAAAAGGAAACCCCACTTGACACCTTGGCTCTAAATTGTCACTTAAGTTTGTCTCAAAATGTCACTTAAGTTTGGAAAACCGATTACTCAGTGAGAACAGAAAGACAGTTCTAGAATAAAATCTTTTTATCAGTTCTAGAATAAAAACTTGGCTAAAATCCAGGGTCCTGACCTCATTGCTGATCTGCTAACAATAGCAGATTAAAATATTCCTGTCTGCCACCGGTCCTGATTTTACCGATTCTGACACACATTTAACATGTGACTGTCTCTAATAAAAGATCAGCAGATATTCAGCTCTGCCTCCATATTTGTAACAGGTTGAGGAGTGGAGGCCCAGTTTTCACTCCTAGCACTGGTGCACAGAGCAGTGCTTCAGCAAATGTTTGTTTCTAGAAATGTTTCTGCCTGCCTCTGTAGGTGGCATTTTTGCTTCTTTGCAGCTTTCCTCATTAAAGGCATTGTAAATGGCTTCTTCCAAAACAATCAAACTCCCTTCTGTAAGGTACAGGGCTACGGTGGCTCTCTCCCCACAATGCCTTCCAACCCACTACATAAATGTGATTGTGGCCTGGAAATGTAATCTGTGTACCTGAAAAAATAATTCGTTTTGTTGCTAATGAAGGTCCTACGGCACAAATTTATTAAAGGTATACTTTTCCATGGGATAATAATTGGGTCGATAATATGAAACTCATAGGCTCATTATTTAATTGCAAGGGCAGATTATGAATACAGCTTCTAAAATGTATTTTAATGAAAAACACTACATCCTGACCTAATCATATCAACCTTATGCTATCTAATTAAGGATGCAAAAAATCATTAGAGTTGCAAAATATTAGTTCCAGCTCCATCAGGCTGTTAGCTGCCCCTTCATGAATATATATATTTTTTTACTCTATGATAAATAGTTAATGAGGTAAAAATGACAAAATTTGCATGTAGGCAAAWTAGTTTAATAGAGTGATGTCTCTCTGGTCTAAAGAAAGTGACCTTTTTCCTATCAAAAGAAGGACTGAAAATACTTTGAAATGATGGCATGGATGTCATTCAACAAATGACAAATCACTTCTCTGAACAATATAAAAATTATAAAATGCAATAACCTTAAATTCTCATCATACTGTAAATGTGTCCTCTGCTGCTGCATTTATCAATTTAATAAAAGGAAATTAAGCATATTATAAAATACCCATTTATGGGGCAATTTTTAATCCAGCGAATAAAAATGAGAAGCACATAGTTAATAGCAAGAAAATATTGCAAAAATGTAGCCCTATTTTTTTCCAGAAGGTTTGACTGACTATTTACTTGAATGACCTCCATTTAAAATATATTTTTTATATGGAATGATGTAAGATATGGGAGTCTCATGCTTCCCTTTATGAAAATTGTTCACAGTTAATTTCGTACTTTATTTAAAAATTAACACATTAATAATGCACGCAATAAGACCTAGTGATGTGTCTTCCATACTGATTACTCTGTACAATTAGACATACAAAAAGAAAGGGACAAGATAAATGCCTTATGCAAATCTGTGGCAGGAAAAAGGGTCTTTCAGTATCTGCAATGCCTAGGAATATGAAATGACCTGAAAATACAGTTCCCAGTCTTGTAGGGAGATGCTCCATGTGGAGAACATATTTCTAMAATGGAGCAAGTTTTTATTACAAAACTAGATTAGCCAAAGAGCTAACAAAATTYCCTTTGATAGTTCCTTTTTCTATCAAAATAATAATAATWWTKTTTAAAAAATARTGAAGATTTCAAAGATTTCTGTTTTCTGAAGAACAYTGGTTCTTTTTTCACAGTATTTTTTACTGATAATTCAGGAGTTTTTAACTGTAGTCTCTGCTCACAAATTTCCCCCATCGTGAGGCAGATCCTGTGYCCACTGAAGCAGATGGTGGAGATCATCTCTAGAGATGCCAGTGATGCAAATTCCTGTGCTCTTTCCGCACTGCTCCRCACTGCTCTTCTTACATCACACAGTCTGCACTAGTTTGTCCCCCAGACAACAGGAATGTTTAACACAGCCTGGMTTTTGGTTAGGGATGGTGTAAAGGAAAAGGCATGGAATTCATGCAGATGTAGACAGAATAGGAACCAGAAACTTAGGGACTTTAGTAAAGACAAAATATATCACTTTGCTTTGTGGAATGAAATGTGTGTTGCTCCCTTTGCGGTGTTGGGATTCTTCCCTCCACTCTGCATCCTCTGAGCTGCTGGATCCAGCTGAGGCTGAGCCCRTTTTAAAGGTTCTCACACTAAGGTTAGAGAAACACATTTCAGTGTGGCCTTTCATGGAGCAAATCTAGTCACTTATACGTGTCTATAGCTATGGGTCATGTCTTTCAGTGTTCTGGCTCTTGAACTGTGTCTTACTCCAGCAGTGGACAAACCATGCTTCTTCCAATTCAGGTACAGACTATTTGTATAGAGCGAAGCAATTTTTCTTTCCATTGTTTTCCATTTGTCTTTAGCCCCCACACCCC